ATCAATATGAGGTCTCTAGTTAATGGAAGGTTAATAGTATCACACCTATGTGCCTTAGAAATAATAATATTTTCTGGTAGATTACAAATTTTGGTCAATCATGACGGGACTTGGTGAGGGCAAGATTGTCTTTTCGCTGGTCCGATGGCCCACCGGTCCACTAGTCTGCCTGTGGGCTCATCTGCCGGTCAACGGATTTTCTAGTCCCTTGGTGCCCCTGTCTCATTCTCCCAGTTTGTCGGATCGATGGTTGTTCAGTGCCTTAATAACCTCGCCTCCTGGTCCACCAAGGCCTGAAACCTTTACCTACCTTAAAGTGTTTACATTAGTTGTACTGCAGCCGTTTTGACGCAGTCCACAGGACTTCCTCCATTAGCTCGGGCCCGTTGGCTGGGATACATTAGCTGGGTCACATCTATCTCCGACCCGAAGAAAGATTGACTTCGAGCCGTAAAAACTGGGCTTTTAAGTCACGCTACCTGAACTATCATCATGGCATTGAGTAATGCTCCAGCAAAATTTCAGAAAAATTTCTTCTTCAGGGCTCCGGAGAGACCAATCTAGGGGTCCCTTTGATCCAAATTTTCAGAATAACTTCCAAGCCCACTGGAAAAAAGAGCATCAATAGGCTTTTCGAAACCATATCCTTGAGCCTCTAGGCACAAAGTATTGTCATGCTGACTTTGGATAAAAAGTAGGGTGTTGGTATTTTAGTGTGTCGGCTCCATAAGCACACCCTATGCTGGGCACTATTGTTTGAGTCAGCAACATGTTAACTCAGTTTTTAGGTGATTCTGGAGATCCGTTTCAAGAGCGTGACTAAACAGACAGCTTATTTGAGACAGGTATTTTAGTACCGCCTCTGCATCAGGAATGGAAATCAAGGCAGATCGAGATGAGTTTCGTTGCCCAGAGACGAAACAGTAGTACCACACTCTTGTCGAAGTTGGAACACAGGCTTCCCTTCGTCTTTCGGTACGGCGCCATTTCAGTTTTCCACCCCATTTTAGCCTGCCTATCCAATCACGCTACCTTGTCCCATTGCAGGAACCACCTGGTCGGCATCCTATTCGCCGTGCTCCTCATCCTCTCTCACTTCGGCGCTGCCTTCCACGTGTCCTACGGCAGAGAAATGGGCCCCGGTGTCCTTGGTTTCATGTGAGTCGTCTGCTTCTGTGTATTCAGGGCTGTAGAAGCGGCTCTTTGTTGGCCGAATCCTCCTCTGAGGAGTCAAATAACAGATGGCCGGTCCCCCAAACCTGGTCGGGGTGAGAGAGATTTTGAAAAGCTTACCTATTCCGGCCTCCTCTGACAACTTCCCTCGTCATTCGGTTGACTTGGTACATTTCCAGACTTTTCGCCGGCATCACTGTTTGCATCATCAGTAGGAAGCACTATCCTCAGCAACGAGCAAAAGCCAGTCATAGCGACATTTATCAAGCCTCTTTCGAATACGATGCCGACGAAGAGTCTGCGAATATACCAAGTCAGCGGTCCCATGCTGAAAGAAGGCATGGCAACAATCGCAGAGAGTGCAAGACTCGGTACGTTTTTCAGGGACTCCCTGTTCTTAAAGTTAATCAAATAGAAGCACCATCGTGGTCTTCGCATCTGGGCTTGCCAAGTTGTCCTCTGGCCGATCAGCTTAGAGCTTCCGACGAGGACGCGAAACCCTCGGAGTGCAGAGCAACTAAGGTCCGATTGGCTCTGGCTTAGTGGACTTTTGTTGTGAGGCGGTCCAAGATTGAAGTATACCACCCGAAATAGACCTGGAAACCGGCACCAACACCGCCAGTTTTCGTGTCCGGTCGACGATCAGCAGCCTCCGCAGTCTGCATTCACAACTTTGTGTTGTCTTGTTCCCCCAGACGAGTCAGTATGTGTGCATTCGTTCGGCTCTTTTGAAGCCCATTAACGCGATGAAACACTCTTCCTCGTCACGTGAATGGATAAAGCTTCGAGGCCATAATTCTTCGGCTGCCGGAGAGGCTGGCCTTTTGCCCGAACTTTCAGATGGAACAAATTTCCGGAGGCTTCAAAGTCGCCTCAGCGCAGCTTCAGGCACCGAATCTGCCTCGTAGCGCTGCCAGTTTACACAAATTCTACTTTAAGGCCGCCCGCCGTAATGCGTAAAGACACCACGGCCTGATGCACTGCGGCCGGTCGATCAATCACGCTCACGAGCCTCCCATTGGGCCGTTCACACTGGCCAATCACATCAGGCCAGGCCATCTGGCAGCAGCCAATGAAAAGCTGGAGCACACGCTCACATAAGAGCTGTGTTCACTCTATTTGTTTTATGTTAATGCAGGATTGCGGGTTTCCTTTTCTCACAATCGTGTGAGTAGACCTGGCGTCTCCATTGAATTTGGCATAGCTCCGGCTTGGGAATACCGTTTGGGAGGCAAGGCGATGCGCAATTGAATGAACGAGTGGGACCGACTCATGCGATTGTGGGAAAATTCAACCACCAGGTCTTCGTCACCTTGACTGAACTAAGGTGATTACAGCTCTTGACTACGGAATTGCCTCACGACGTCCTTCTTCTGCTCCTCCATTCAGGCCTGCAGGTCCCAGGCTCGAATCTCGAATGGTGGCTACTTGGGTACTTGGGCATTTTCGGCGGGGCGCATCGGCCTAACCAACTCCGTAACGGCGAGCAGGCTGTCGTTATTTTTTACGAAGAAAAAGTGGGTTTCGACGGAATCCTCAATGAAATATTGTGGCACGACTCGCAAAGCATGGATTGCTTCATCCAGATCGCGAAGTTAGGCGTATGAACAAGCGACTCGAGTGGCAACTGGCCACCTTTTTTCTTAGTTTAGTATATCTTTATAAGATGTCTTCAC